ACAGTGCCTTATTTTCTGTTATAAACCTAGTGAGATAGATGATGTGGTAGTGTAAGTGTATGCCCGATATTAGCTTTGTGTCTATGCTTTGAATTGTTCACAATCGGTTAAGGGATTTCCAGGTCATGGATAATGAAAGGTCCTGTAATGAGGATTTATCTGTAATCCGTTATGGGAAGTGGTACAGAAAGAGCCTGTATTTCCTGCGATGAATGCTGTTGCCTAATTGTTTGAGCCACGATTGAACTTAGGCTTCTTGTGCAATGGATGTCTCGCTGACAAGCATTTTTGGCCTATGACTCGGTGGGTCCCGAGTTCGTCTATGCCACGTTGGTTATACCGATTTGAACCGTGTCGAGTGGGTACGCAGTCAGCAAGTCTGTCATAGTGCCAGTTGATTTGGTAGGGATGCGTCACTCGGTGTACATATAGACAAAATCAAAGGCTTGTTGTAGCAAGACGCACGAAAGAATACAGTAGTGAATGTGAGACTACCAAAAACATGTGCTTACGTTCTACAGAGGTGCACAGTACAAAGTTTGCTCATGTTTGATAGCATTACAAGAGCTCTGTCGAACACCATCGCAAAGTTATGTCGAGAAATCAAATGTTTTAACTTTTCCGAATGGGTCCTCGAAATGAACCGCCAAAGATAGCGCTTGTGGTGAACTAGCATATTTTACCATTCGCAGTGATGCTGAAAATGCTGAAATTTTACCTACCCAAATGCGTAAAGCCTATTCTATATTCAGTCGACTTGCTTGGGTTGTGAACCAATGCTTTCAGCCGATCTCCGTTACAGGAGATTCCAAAGCACACACATGTTTGCGAGAATCGGAGAAATTGGTCAGTTTTCTTGACTGTTGAAGGCAGCTACGGCGATAACGTTAGAAACACAAAGGGACCTTGAAATGTCGAAATAGCTTAGGTAAATCTTAACTTGTTGACGGGTGAGGGTTGACAATATTCTGAAAGCACTTCACATTCAAAGATCTCAAATGATTTTTAAGGGTAGTTCGGTACTTTATGATTTTCAAATTGTCCTACATACGCGTCACAAAGGTAATACAAAAAGAAGGCTCTAACTCACACCTATTTGTGGGGACAGAGAACTGATCAGAATATGCAAACCATTGTCCAGCCTTGCGCTAGAATCCAAGAGAAAGCTTGCATAGCAATACATATCCCCGGTCTATGCTGTTGTCTCCATCTCAACGATCCTCACACCCATGGGACAAAACACACATTTACATCACAGGGCCCATCGAAGCCACTATTGTGCTTGTTATAATGGATACACATTCCAACTGGATCGAATCGCTGCCAAACACATCCACTATTGGAGCAACCAATATGCACATCCTAATAAACATTTTTGCGGCAAAAAGCAGTGTCATAGAAAAAAATTACAATTAACAGCTCGGTATATGTCAGTGACGAGTTTGAAGAAATCCTGCCCGTAAATGGTTTCGTGAACGTTTTTCTGAATCTTATAGCTGGGGTCCAATAGTCTGACGGAAAGAGCGATTGCGGTAAACGTAGTGTTTCCAAACAAAATTCCGTTTATGGTACAAACACGCCTTGCCAGTTTTGTACTACACTGCAGCTGTATACGGCCCACTACCAATGATCCCAGATTGCGTAAATTTCCGATGGGGTGACGGTATACATCTCATCAGACATGACCTGTACAGAACGTTTGCTGTGCACCAGTTCTCAATGAAACGACACGACGAAATGCGAACAAATGATGATCTGACTGAGCAAGCGGACAGAGGTAATGACCGGGAGCAATGGCGTTGCAAATGCCATGTACTCAGTTAGCAGTAAATTCACCACGCAATTTACAAGGTCGATGACGAAATATGACTCCATACTCCTACCGTCTATTCCCACAGCAAGCCTATGTGCCATGTTTACATGCTAACCCACATAACTACTAGGTAAGTAGCAAGGCGCTGGTGGAAAGCTTGACCTGCATGACAGCCGAGGCCCGTCCTATTCGATGAAAGCCGGCCTACTGCTTGTGTTTTACCTGATTTGTTATCAATGTTACCCCGGCTTCACTTTATTCCTCACTGTGAGTCCCCTTCACTCACACGATTCAAGCAGTCAAGCCCCAAAACACACCTCAGATTTGAATCTCTTAATCCCGCCCCAGGAGCACACAACTATATGTTCCTCTTACTCCTCTCTGACTGAGCCAAGGCACCCAAAGTGCCCAGCTCAAATCGTTCCAATTCATACGCTGCATGGCGAACCTATAAGTCAATGGTTAACGGACCTAGTAACCTAAAGGTCGTAGTCCGATCGTGGACTGTATTGTGTGAATGTTTATGTACGGTGAGAAGTACCGGTTGCATGCCTTTTGGACATTGTGTAAATCCGTTGTTTGGGGACGGTACGGGTATTGTCGAGGTATGTACGTATTGTATTCAGATTCCCAGTTTAATAGTACCGTAGTAGAAGTCACAGATTCCTTGCTTGGTTGGATCGGGAGATTTTACGCGTCATTCGTGAAAAAAAACGAATTTATCGCTTACACACTCCCACGATAAATGTCTGATATGCCATTTGCAAAAGTTCAAGTATCACCTAGCCATAAGGGGAATGAACTCAGTAGGATAAAGGCGATGCATTCATCTGAGCTAATGAGGCCTCTCGTACTTAAAAATAGTCAAAACTCAACAAGTCTGTCTACAGAAATACGGTTAAATGCAGCATATACATGAACAAACGTGGCTGATGATTCGCTAGGGAAGGCCAAAACGCGAACCTTCTGGGTTTGAACTCAGCTCTCGACAGAATAGACCGAAATACTGTCGACCATCAGGTCTCGGACAGTCCCGAGTAGCTTTGGAAATCTGTTGAAAATCAAGGACCAAAACTATTGAAAATATGGGTAGTGCTCAACCCCAAAACGGTTGGCACAATTTCGAGTTTTCTCCTACCCGATGGCGAAGCAACCAATTTGCAGTCTGAAGCGGTTGTAAAATATTCATCCAGCCGGCAGTTGTAAAGCCGTAAACCATCAACATCGACTAAGGGTAACGTGCACATTAGTTTTTAATGTACTTGATGATCTCTGGGGGGAATAAATTTGATAAAAGTGACCACAATGGGACAAGTAAATGGTCGCTGGACAGAACGTCTGCACAGGTGTGATACATGGAGTGGTGATGTCGTTAGTCTTACAGAGTAACAGTAAACTATACGACACTCAGCTTATCAGGAATATTCCTCGTTATACATGATATCGAAAAATAAGCAGTACTTTAAGCTTCCCACCATGTCACGAATGCGCTTGAGTACGCACGACAACCCATTGCCCGAATTATTTAAAAATGATTGTATGTATGGCTCCTAAATATTCTCACAGGTCCTTAGGTCACTAGTCACAAAATTAATGGCACTGAGTGGTTACCATCTTTCCCTCAAACCAAATTTCGTTACGAAAAGCAGAGCACGAAAATATTTAACGCTTAGGGACCGGACTTAGTGCGCTTAACAACGCTGTCCCAGCTCACAACATCAAACAGCATGCGTAGCTCCATTCGTATATTGTGTGCATCTATTACATGATTAGAAGTTTACACAACACAAAATCTGGTGCGAAAAGTATGTATGAACTAAAAGTTTCTTCATATTTACCACATTGGCTTTCATAAAGCGCAGATTGGAACCCTGTCGCTCCCTAGGATTGGTGGTTATACACATAAAGCGGGAAATGCGATTGACCACTTACCATCTAATACATATTGTCATTCCAAGGAACAACATAAGTGTACGTTGTTTTTGTTTATATTTATTAAGGATAGGATGTTATCACTGTAACTATGGTCTCAGCATCGCTGCTACTAGCTCCCAATTCTAGCACACACAGGTGAAGAAGAAGTGTCCATTCTCGTCTGCGAGAGACTGAACTTGAGGGGGCCAGATCAAAATGTACCGGAGAGTCATGCTCATGCATGAGGAGTTTAGGTGTTATTCGTCAAGTACTTTTTAAATGGGATTCCAAATTGGCAGATAACTGCGCCGTCAATGTGGGTTCATGGGTGCAGTTCGTCTTCTGTGTCATTTTGCTTCTTCCAATCACGATGCAGCTTACAAAAGCGCGTTTTCATTTTCTTTCTCCAGATGGCCAAAGCAGCCAATACAAGCTTCCGATAAAGGTGTAAATGGAGCAGGAGAATTAGGTTAAACCAAGGAAATATACACTTGAATGTAGTAGAAAGAAGCGAAAAATCCTAAGTTTAGTTATAAATTGTTATATGTTAAGCAAGCTATAATGCGGCCAGATAAAAAAATTATTTAGGCTAGCAACGATACGCAGTACGCCATTCGTAAAATAACTCAGTGAGTGATATTATAGGGCGACGGCACGAATGTGACTACCAAATAAAATGCTCTCAAGAGCGAAAAATGGGGAAAGGTAACAACAAACCAGACAAACACAGCAGGCAGGCGGTGATCTATCTTATAATAGCAAAACAAATGCAATATCCACAAATGTTTACAAGGTTTAAAAAACTACGAATAGCTCCGCTGTTTAATTTTCACTAAAATTGCGGTTTTGCGGTTTTGGTTTCTGATTTTAATAAGTAGAGAAACCGCGTCTAGCTCAGGCATGTATATATATAAATTATGAAACAAGTTGTACTTTCCTTCGAGATAGATCCGTACCATGTATTCATATCTAAGTACCTTGGTGACGTGTGTGTTTTAGCAGGATCACCATGCCGAAGTTGAAAGAGGAGTATCCAGTGACACCGAAGACGTTGCCGTACCGATCAGAATGTGAGGGTTTTACTTTAAGGTGAAACTTAAGGGTTACATGTTGCCATGAGTACTACGGTGTATAGTACCGACAGAGCTAATGTGTCAAAACCTTCAAATAAATGGTTACCGTTTAGCTGGAACATGGGTCCTACTTTAGATAATGTGGATTTATCAAATACTACTGATCATTTTTATCATTTTTCCCTTACACTGGTCACAAGGACAACAATGCTGTTCTTCGCCGTTTCTTGAATATGAGCTTGGACATGCTGCGTGCATTCCATGAATTTATCGGAACTCGTTTTGTAACTTGAAGAATATTTGTCCACGTCGAAAAACTGGCCTTCACACTGGACTTCAACATGATGCAGATTCGGGACCGTTTATTTGAATGTTACAGGTACTCAAAATGTCACTTAATCCAGTCGCAACGGTTTGCTTTTCTACTGATTTTTTATAAAAACCAAGGAATATATTGTAAAAGACTGAAAATCTACCAAATAAAGCATATCAAGTTTATATAGACTTTACAGAAATCTTTTTCTTGTGATACCCGCGTCTCCTCGAGTTCCCATATTTGATCACCAACCCATGGCTGACATAGCAGAAATTTCAACAAATGCAGTTTTTTAACGGGTCAATTTACGATTTTTTGTGCTGTGTCGAACTACACAAGCCATCCTGTGTTTGCCGTAAATAACTACCTTTACCACATAATTAACTGGATCGGAGCATGTAAAAAGAATTCGTCAAGGGTTTGTGAAATCAATCGTTCATTTTGCTCTGAGCTTGGCGTTTTTATCCCAAACGTTTCACCACCATGTGAGGTGGCATCCTCAGTGTAGTGATTTGCGGCATGCCATTGTACTGACGGAATCCTTCATCCATGGTCGACCTGCAGAGGAATTATGAAATTGGCGATGTCGATTAACGTCCCTTGACCTCTGTCCACTTTTCCCAAGGCTAAAGTCGGCGCGCGCGGTAAAACAAGAAAAGAAAGAGAATTCCTGGAAGTTTGGTTCTCAACGAAATCCTCAATCAACATGCACGTGGACATCGATTCAGTATACTAACCACTACGACAGCAAGCAATGAAGAATATTTTATTCCGGGGTTTACGGCAGGACAACTCGGGCGCGGAGTTTATCCTTGGGAAACGTGGGTAGAGGACACGGGACGTTAATCCACACTACCACTTTCAAAAGTCACCTGCAGGTTGATCATGGATGAAGGATTCATTAGGTAAGATTGCACCCCGCAAATAACTGCACTGAGGATGCTACCTCGCATGGTGGTGAAACTTTGCGACAAAACCGCCAAGCTCGAAGAACAAATGAACAGTTGATTCATCAACCCGAGCAACTAGTATTTCGAAACATTTTAAACAACTACGGTTTGTGATATGTCTGGGCCATCACCTGGAGTCAAATTAGTATTTGTTTAAGCAAATTGGTTCTCCATGTGCTACTAATTTTCCGTGGTTTTGCTACCTTCGCTCCACCACCTATGGGTTACATTCTCACAGTTTAAGACATGGCTTGTTTGTTTTTCCACTCGTAGTTCGTGTGTCACATGTCTACTAAATATCTGTTTTGGGACTTAACTACTGCACCCTATTTTCCGAGACGTTTCTCTAAGTACGGATTGCAACAAAACGGATACGAATATTTAAGTAGAGCTGATAAGTTCGTAGTGATAGAGAAGCAATAAAAAGTGGAGTCCAAGGCGGCGGACTATTATTAGTCCAAACCTCCCCATGGCTGCCATGATTCGGAGGGAGAAATATGCTTTAAGAGTAAGTTGATTTCGCAGAAGAGCAGTGTGAATTGCTCTTGCTGTCATCCGACTTTGGACAGCCGAAATGTAGCTACCATGAGTTAAATGACTGCAGCGTGCTTGTGGCGAACTCCAACTAGTGGTGTGCTAGCAGCTTGAAATTTAATGGTCCAACCTTTCTCAGCGTCTAATGTGAGTATGCCAATAAGGTCAAAACACAAATTGAAAAGACTTCCATTTATTTTTTGAACTGGTCTTCGATCCTAGCTTGGAACTAATGTTCGAATGTATGTTTTACTTTGACGACCATTAATTTTTGACTCGTTCAGTATCCACTTGAGGAACCGTTTGCTTATCTCACTGATGTTTCATAAAACACTTTAATTCTCGACTATTTCAGTCTCTTCAGTTGGGGCCGACTTAACTAGAGGCGCTATGGATAAGCGGATAGGCGCTTTCATCGGATCGTGTTGTACACCCCAGTTTAATATGTCATTCGAAAGCTATTTGACTTAAACGATGCTGCGATAATCAAAATTATTACTTCCTAGGTGCTTGAAAATATACTGTGTGCATAAATGTGTGCAAATGCACATTCAATGGTGTTGTCGTTGTTGTTTATCTTACAATGGTGCATTCGTGACACGAAACTGGACATAGTCGTGTATACGACATGTCAGAAACACCGTCCCTTACACTTTTCAACTAAGAAATACCTGGAAAGAGCACATGGCCGATAAATAAGTTGTTTTTAGCTGCGATGAAAGCACTGTGATTTCCAAACCGCATTCTAGCGTATCTGGTACCTAGTTAAGGTTTAAGAGATGATCAAGGGAAGAAGAGAAAGATGCGCTCGAGAAGTTACCACCCAATGATACTAATACAACTTCGCTAAATTCGTTCCCTAAGGCTTGACGATAATCGTTGGTACATCACTGGGTCTGTGGATAAAACGTTAATGTACATAATTAAGCTACTATTTCGGATTTCGTTTTACTAGATTTCTGTTTAGGGCCAGGAGTATTCGAACATTAAGGTTTACTTTGCTGTATGCCGACCGTGTCCCGAGTGTCTGGTAATCCAACTGCAACTAATTGACGCTAAGAGACAGGGAGACCACTCGTTCTTCAGTACATTGTTCTCCTGCACATAAACCAGTCGCGAGTTGCATTAGATTATTGTAAGAGACTTTGCAAGAGCTTTTCCTATATGGTAATTAGCCATCTGTTTTAACACAATGGTCGTTGTACTTGGCTTGCAAATATCAACATCACAAACCGCGAACTTTCCGTTCTGTTAGTTTCCAAATTGTGATTGCCTTGGCGTTGACATACTACCAATGTGTCCAGCGTTTGATGAATCTAGCACAAATTCGAAGATAGATAATCCTGAGGATATTACTACGACCTTTAATGTGTCAGCTGAGACCACACCTACGTGTGCACAACTGGAAGGAGCACGTGCATCGTCTAACAGATAAACCGAGTTACGTTATGAACTGAACTACTCTTAGTAGGTGGACAGAAAGCCGGAGCGTGGATAAGGCTAGTGTTATTGTGACAGCGAGGATGTAACACAAGATAAGCATATGGCCAAGTAGGTAATATGATTCAATGGCCGGTGAATCCTCAATGGTTTCTTGGACTGTGTCGCAATCTTGATTAGAGGATAGAATGAGATCAAGGGATGGACTTCCTTATAGTAGAACTTGGAAACCCAGAACCTATTATCCATTTTACATTTGGTTTTTGTGCTTCGTCCTAGACAACTACTGCGTGCAAACAATGGACAGTGCAACTTGACGGGCATTTTATGTTCATAATTCCAGCCAGACGCATGACTAGATCCCCTCCCTAATTCACATTATGTGCCTCACCTTGTCAGAGCAAGTCCATTCTGTGCACTGCGTTATTGGATTTTTTGATCCAGGTCAAGATTGTACAGTGTGAAAGAGAGAGCACGTAAAATGTCCTTACATCCTCAACGTCGGATCGCACCTTCCCACTTATCACGAATTGCTTGTTTACGCCAATATCCCTGAATAGCCAAACATAGCTAAACGTTTAGGCTTTCATCAATGGGTGTAAGCTGCGAAAGCACAACTGACTGGTGTTATAATATTCACCATTGCCGCGGCTTCATGCAATCAGGAGAACAATCTGGGTTCGTAGTGAACTTATTCGTGGTAAGATGGTGAGATTATGATGAGATGTATTGGTGCATTTTATAAAAATTCGGCAGAGTACCTAGACCGTAACCAATTTTGTTTTATTGAATGCTGAGTGAGATATTCTCATCATCTAGAGTATAAACTATGATGACATAACTTGTGTCACATGTAGGATACACCATCTAGATATTATCACTACTTTTTTCTTAAATATCATTCATTAACAAGTGGAAACAAAATCAAGGTTCCGACAATTTGAACCTTTTCTACCTGCAATCATTGCGGACTTTGAGTATCATGGACCATTCATTTCCTTTGGTGCGCTCTCTAAGTCACCTAAAACTTGGAAGGTTATCTAATCTTTTTGTGAAAACTGCAAACCTATTTCCTTCATCTGTGATCAAACTTGTAGGGGGTTTGCTCTACGCATTACATCAAACATCACCCAAGTTCCATTCATCCGACATGGAATTACCAGCTCTATGCGATAGATTGCTAAGAGTAGAAATTATTTCATCGCTTTGTTAGTTAAATTGTCTTACTGGTTCTGCAAGAGATATGCCAGCTGGCCATTCGTATCGGCTGAACGGTTTTATCAGTTGACGGTGATCGATCCACACTGCCATCACATCAACCGCGTCACCACCTCACAAGCAATAAACAAAAGTACAAGTTTCACCGCCACTCACTTTCCCGTGCAACGTTTGGACATACTTGTTAAATGAGACCAGCGTGCAGAGCGTCCGCTTAAAGTCCATGCAGGTTGGTTTTATAGCATTCTCTCTCACTCCACATGAGAGTGTGTGAACAGGAAACTAAGCATACGCACTCATGCGTCTGATTAGGTTGCGCAACCGGTCATTTAGTTAAGTACGCAACTACAAAAAGCATACTGTGTAAGGTAGTAACACCATGCTAAGTAGCAAAAAGCAAATAGCTACGAATCCAACTGGGCTCCATTCGAAGCTTAAATACCGGTCCGCAGAATGCGATCGATTAATTAAATGCGGTTTACCTCACTCACACGTTTCCATATGGTAGAATACAAAACGTGTAAATATTTCCTAACAACACCTGAAAGACCGAAACAGCTCCCAATACGACCTCTGTGATTGTACGGCGTGTTTGACCAACCCGCTGGTCAATTGCTTATTTCCCGTAGTCCAAACGTGCGATACGTTAGCAGAAGAATTTGAGCAACGAACGAATGCTAGGATTGCATAAGTAGCAGCGAGTTTGCACTATGATAACTCAGGGGCGTCAGTAAGCAAGGTGTTTTGCCCGAAGCAACAGAACCCATTCCTGGAGATCCTTACTAGAAAATGCACGGCCTTAAGGGATTCTACTTAGTGTGCTCACGTTTGTCCAAGTAACCTGCATTAGGAAACTTACACAACGCAGAGAAACAAATGCGTTAACTGGAAACCTTAGAGCGTTGCTCTTCCCAACACTGGCACCCCAAGACAGCGGTTTCATCCTGGTTGGGACTCAACTGTTGGAGATAGGCTGATTTGGACTGGAATTTAGAGCCAAGTCCAACTATGAAACAACTGCGTCAAGTT